AATAGTATTTAGCGCTCGATAGTCGTAGTAAAATCGCAGCCCTTTATTCGGCTTCCGTATAAAGAGCACTAGTGCGGCCGCTGCTAAGCTACTCGCTCGGATAAAGCCTCTATCTAAGAGGTCCTTTAGGGTCTTACGTAGGACTAAAAGCTCTTCTCGCGATATATTATAAAGTGGTCCCTAAGGTAGGGGCGGCTCGTTGCTATTCTTATTAGGCTATAGATTTACTTTATAATCGACACCCGGTCGGTATAGTAGTAGCTTTATTACTTCTTCTAGCGAGAATAGGCCGCGGAACTCCTTTAGTACCTTTGCTAGGACCTTTTCGCTCGGGTCGATTAGCCGCTTCGGCTAAAGCGCCTTCTCTATATCTAATAAGCTGATTGCTCGTATCGAGAACGCGTTGCACTTCTTACGCCTCCTTGCACGTCGATACTCCGCCGTAAATATAGCCGCCGATATAAGTCTTACGCTTCGAATCGCGCGAATCTTAGCGGGCTCTTCCTACCCTACTAAGCGTATCGTTACGCCTGCTCTCCCGTTATATACTCGCTAATTAGCAGCGTCGTATATAACGTGATTTCTCTCTATCTAAGGTCGGCTAAGGAATATATCCTAACCTAGGCTTAGGATTACGTATATAAAAACACGTTCGTTAAACCTAGCTATCTCGACTATAATAGCTACGACCTCTAGGGATATAATACTCTTCGCTAACTCTAAGAATCCCCCGATTTCTCGTGGTTTTAAGTCGACGAAGGGTATCCGTAGCTTCTAAATAAGGGCTTTATTAATTACGGCGTAGTAGTTATATCTATAGTTAATAAGGGCGCGTATTCGATAGCCTCGGTTTACCCGCGCGTTAACTAGTATAGTCCGACTATTTATTCGTAGCTTAAACGCTTCCTAGTCCCGGATATCTGCCTTTATAGGCCCCGGCGCCCGCTTTCGCTCTAGGGCTAGTCTTTTCCTGCCGACTCGTCCTTATAAGATATAGCGGTTAACTCCGAATTATCTATAGCGTCGGGCTTCTTTATACGCGTAGCTTTAGGTCGATGTTGCTTCCCTTCGCTAGGAAAGATCACCTAAGCTAGGCAGTCTACTATAAGATAATTATTCCGACTATAGCGATAGCAGCGGCGCTCGTCCTTCGGCTTCTTATCGATATATCGACGACCCTTTAACTCGTGGCTAATACGGTTAATGTCCGTTATCTTAATATCTCTATCGGGGTCCTCCGGTTCCTCCTTAGGTCGTTGCCTTAGTAGCTATTAAGGCGTCCGCTTAGTCGAAGTCGGCTACCTACCGGGTTTTAGTCTTTTTAATCTGCCCGCAATTTCCTAAACTCTCGTAAGCTATCCCTAGTAGTCGTTAGGTAGGACGGCTATGACTAAACTCTCTTAGAGGCGTGTATTTATTGCGTTCTCTAGAAACACGATCTTTGCACTGTCCGGCTAGTCTGCTCCCCCGGCTTTAGCTAATGCCTATTTAAATCGGGGAAGGAAGGACGTAAGAGGTTGGTCTTCGCGCTGCCGCATAGTTCTTAGCGTGGCAGTAGCGCGGGATTAGATATTGCTATCTTAGTAGGTTCGGTCGAGGTATCGCATAAACTCTTAGGGGTCGTAGCTACCCCTAGGGCCACCCGCGGCGTAAAAGGTAGCGACTACTTACTATAGTCGCTCGTCTAAATATAAGTTAATAAGGTACTAAAGTTCGCGGTTTCTACTATAGTAGTATGCATCTAGGTCTAGCTTGTCTCGCATCTGCCTGGCCTAGGCGGAGTAGCTCTTCCGTGAGCCGTTATAATTACTTAGGTGGGCTAGGCAATGGTTTCCGCGTTCCGGTACCGCAGGTTTTAGAAAGGGGCGTGCCCAAGCCAGGCGTGCTCTCGCCCAATCCTCGTGCCACTAGCGGCGATTGCAAGTCGGCGCTCTGCGGTTGCGCTCGCCCGAGTTGCTCTATTAGCGAGGAAAGTTGGTCCTATAGGGGGCTAAGAGTCGCATTAACCGCTTCTTAAATGCGGTGGTCGATCTACTGCTGCTAGAGACTTGGGCTCTCGCTCTGCTAGTCTATCCCGACGAGCAGTCTGCAGCTTACGGTGTTTAGTTTAAGTTCTAGATATATAAGAGGCTGGCCCGGAGTTTATTTAATAAGCAAGTGCCTAGGTGTTATCTATCTAGAACTAAGGAGGAAAGAAAGCCGAGCTCGAGGCGAAGCCTCGAGTGCGAGCTTATATCGCTTATCGTAGAATCTTCTCGTAGCATCTAGCTCCGCGGAGCGGGGCCGGGGCATGACCCGCCGGGCCCGGTATAACCGGGTCTACTAAGCCGGGCATAGCCCGTAATAATACTATACTATTATTCTTATTTCCTTCTTCTTTTACCTTATATCTCTACTTTTAATTTTTTTAATTTTATCCTTTAGTTTCTACCTTTAATCTATAACTTTAATTTATACTTTAGTTACTTATATATCTATTCTACCTATAAACCCTTATATTTCGTACCTTTACTCTATCCTAATATATTACCTTTATTATATATATTAATTAACTTAGGTTTTTTCCGTGACCGATACCCTTATATTCTATTAATATATCTTATTTTAGACGTTCTTTTTTTTTAGTTCCTTCTATTATGTTTTTATATTATAATATAATGCTTAATCTTACTTTCTTACTATTCTCTTCTTTTATTACTATATAATAAAATGCACCTTACTTTAGAATAAACTTAATTACTATATCTTTTTCTTTCTTTTCTTTTAGGGTCTTATTTACGCTATATCTTCTTATAGTCTATTCTACTATTATAGTTTTGCTTAGGCTTATAGTTTAATTCTCTCTAGCTTCGTCCTATTCTTTTAGTTTAAACCCTACTATCTTTATTCTCTTACCTTTTTATTTTATACCTATAATAATATCTTTAATAGGTATTGCTATTATATTGCTAATCTATTACGATATTACTCTAATAAAGTTTTTTTTCTTTCTACTTAATACTTATTATATACTTTACTGCTTATATTTATATAATAAATGTTTCTATACTATTACCTTAGCCTTAATTTATTTTATACCTTTCTCTTCCTTTACTTTATTTGTCTCTTAAACTATTAATTTTCCTGCTATAACCTATCTTTTTTTTCTGCCTTACCTCTATTTTTATATTCTATTACTTCTTATCTATTCTTTTCCTTAGTACTACTCTTTTTCCTATCCTATCTTTATATATACTATTTCTCCTATATATCTTATATTACCTTAAGCTTTTTACTATTACGGTAATATATTTATTATATTATTGCTCTTTTTAACTATATTATATATAGAACTGTCTATGTTTCTAATATTATTTGTTTTACTATATTGTTTTTATTTATACTTGCTTTACTTTCTACTTCTAGCATTATTTTCCTTTTATTTTATTCCCTTATAGCAATGTTCCGTCTTATTTCTTTTACTTCTCTTTCTACCGTAGGGTTATCCCCTACCCTATACCCTTCACCCTACCCTACCTACTACCTAGTACCCCCTATATTTCTCTTTTTTTATATATCTACTAGTATATATATTATGTCCTCTACTACTTTCTTATTATTACGCGTTATAATGTTTTTATACTCTTATTTATAATTTAATATACTATACTTTAATGTCTACCCTTTTCTTCCTATAATATCCTCTTTTATTATTCTTCGTTACCCTTATTATATCTTATTTATTTTTATTTCCTTTATCTATTATTATACTATTCATATGCTTCTATTTATCAGTAGTCTTATAGATTTTAACTAGCAAAATGTCATTGAGTTTACCCCCTAACCCTACTACATTTCGATTTGTATGGCCTTTTATATGAGGTTATAGATAAACTTATAGATGAATAGTTGCTAGTCCCTGCCCTGCCTAGTTACTCCCAGTAGCTCTCTTCCTATCCCCCGCTCTCTATGAGCCGGCATAAGCTATGAAACCCCCGACATAGCCGGTTCGTCTCCCACCCTCCCCAACGCACCTTCTCTCCTAGCCACCGAAACCACCCCTCTTCCTCGCCTAGCCCTAGCGGCATCCCCATCGCCTCCATCGTCTCGCCGGCCCCGTCCCTGTTCGTCCAGTATGCTGCCGCATACACTGCCACCACTATGCCCTTGTACTGGCACTCTGCTCCTGTTTGCTGGTAACTTCCCCCGTCTGCGCCGGCTGCCTCCCACCTCTCACAGATGGCCTGTGGCAGCCCACACCCAAAGCAGCCTGAAAAGCGTGCCATCCTCTTCTTCTTAAAGAACCCCTCCTCCATATGTGCCATGTTCGCCTCCATTGCTATGCACCCCTCACTCCCCTTCCATGGACACTCATGGGCCCTACGACCCCTAATCTCCCCCCCTTCCGCCCAGCAGACAACGCATCGTTGTGCCCACCTCTCTAGCTGATCTTGGAACTCCTCTTGCTCCCTGGCCATCTGCATAGCGTCCTGTGTAGCCTTCCACTGGCCGTACTGTGCCTGCTGACTCTGCCTCTCTAGCTGTCGTCGAATCTCCGCCGCTGCCTCCTTGCTGTTCTTGATCTCCTTGCCCTCGTTAGCCTTATCTGCAGGGTTAGCGTCGTTTTCCTCCTTAACCTCCATCTCTGCCTCCATCTCCTCCTCCCAATGTCTCTGCCTGCATACATCGCATGCCTCCTCGTCTGCATCGCATCCCGTACGCCCTACTAGCCCATCCATCACTCTACCCAATACCTCCCGCCGGCATGACCCCCCTATAAACTCTGCTGCCGCCTTCTCGTGCCCGGATCCCTCCCCCCCCCCAGGGTTCACCACAGACCACTACCGCCTCGCTTCGTCTCCCGTCTCGTCCCGCCCGCCCGCTCTCCTGCGCGTTGTCCCGTAGCTTCCGCGGCATGCCGGCATGTACGACCAACCGCACGTCCGGGATGTCGACCCCCAACCCCAGCGCGTTCGTCGCCACTACCAGCTGCCCACCCTGCAGCCAGCCCTTCAGCCGCCTCATCTTCCCCTCTGCCGTGTCACCTTGGAGTGGTACCGCTCGCATACGAGCGTGTCCGCCAACGCCTCGACCCGCGCAATCGTTCCGGCGTATACGATGGCCCTGCCGCCTTCGTGCCGGTTCAGCCACTGCCGCACGATCTGGCATACCTTACTGTCCTCCTCGTCTATGCCCCCACGTATAACCTCTACCCTATACCCAATATTCTTCCTCGTCGTATGCTGTCTAAATATCACCACCTGCTTCGCTGATAAGCTCGCTGCCCTATAGAATGCGGCCTCATCCGCCGGCGGCAACGTCGCCGTTAGGAACACTGTCTGCACGCCCCATTGCTGCATGGTGGCCCCTAGCGCCAACAGCTGTGGCCGGAACATGGCGTCGCCGTCCAGCAGGACGTGGCACTCGTCCACCACCACCCGGTCTAGCGCCTGCCGCGCTAGTAGCCTGTTCACAAAGTCATGGAATCCTTTCGTCACGGCTGATTCGGGCGTCACGAACACGAGCGTCGCCGTCTGCATGCCCTGCTGGCTTCCCCAGATGTGCGTGCATATCCCGGCCTCGTCGCAACGCCGGTATAGGTCCTCCCGTAGCGACACTAACGGGATTACCACGATCGTCGTGCCGTCGGCGGAGCAAAACGCCGGCAGCATAAACGATAGGCTCTTGCCGCCCCCAGTGCCGGTGACCTGCACGATCGGGCTCATGCCGCGGCAGATGGCCCGGATCACCCTCTCCTGCTGCCCCCGGAATGCGGCCCCCTCGCCCATCATCGTCCGTAGCTGCCCGCGTGGGTCGACCTGGCATAGGCGCCTCAGCCGCTGGAACCGCGCCTCTTCGCGCTGCGTCTCAAAGGCCTCGCGTCGGCGCCTGCCCAACCCGGCCCCCTTGCGGTCCTCGGCTCCGAAGTCGAGAAAATGATGCCACTGCCGGCTGATGGCCCGGAACTGATCCCGCCGTGCCTCCGTCCCGAACATGCCCTGCTGTAGCCCACGTGCATACACCATTCCTGCAACATGCGTGCTGTGTGCGGCCTGTAGGTCCCATATGTCGTCGTCCTCGTCGTCGTCGTCCTCGTCTCCCTCGTTGTCGAACCCCTTGGCGAATTTCCGGTTTGATATCGCAATCGCGATATGCCGCCAAGCGCTGATGGTTAACGCTGTGCCTAGTAAGCGTTTGCTGTGCCGCATTATAACCCGTCGTACCCGGTCGCCAGTCCACTTATATTCCCGGAGCCAATCCGTGCCTCCCACTTGCTCCTTACCTCCGTCCTGCCCTATGCCCCCGTCTTCCTCTGCGCTGCCCACGACCTCGTCCGACCATAGAAACGCGCTGAGCCTCCCCCCCTTAACCATGCCCCGTACCTGCTGCCAAACCGGCAACGCCAACCAGAGATACCACACTAATAGCTCGCCGACCTCGCGTGGCAGGTAGCGGTGTATCACCTTGGCCTGCCCTGTGGCCCGGAACGTCTTGTGGTACGACGTAACGAAGCACATCATCTGGTTGTGTGCCATGATGTTGCGTACCCCCCCGTTCACCGTGTTAACCATCCGGATCCCCAAAATCTCCGTCGTCCGCGCTGGCTGCCATGACACCATATGCATTGGCATCCATAGCCGTTCGCGGAACTGGTCCACCGCTTTCCCGTACTGGCGCACCGCCTTGACCCTATAGGGGAAGCCTGGGCTTTCGTAGCTAGGCACCCATCTCTCCTGCCGCGCCTTGGACTCGCTGATCTGCGTCATAACCCAGTCCTTACCGCCCTCGAGCCAATCGTTCTGTTTGTCGTGCAGGAACGAATAACCTACCTGGGCCTCGCTATGGTCGTCTTCTAGCCTGGCCCATGGGATCCTCGGCAGCGCTACAAGGTCGTCGACCTCGGCCAGCTTGGCCAGCCACGTCCGTGCCTCGTCGGTGAGCGCATGTGGGGCCTCTGATAGCTGGTCCATGGTGAACTTGATCTTCTGGAACCTGATCTGCTCCCCAACCCAGTCGACCTTGCCGTCTGCTGGCGTGTCGAACTGGACGTGCTTGCCGTAGGTGAGCGCCTCGAACATCCAGTCCATGGGTGTCGGCAGGGCCTTGGGCCTACCCGATGTCTTAATCATGAAGCGCTGTACCTTGTCCCGTACAATCTGGAATAGCGGCGTGGCCATTTCTCGTGCCTCCTGCTCTGCCTCCTCCCCGAGGCGCCCCCCCTGCAGCTTCGCGACCTCGTCTTCCCGCTCCTGCCACGACTGGTACAGCACCATCATACGCGCCCCCTTAATAACGGCGGCGTAGATCGACGTGTAGTCCAGTACGCGTACCCAGCCGCCACCCTCCCGCTGCCCCATGACGGCCAGTGCGCTAATGATGGGGTTGTCGTAGTGGCTCTGCCTGAGCTGGTGGTCTAACAATGCCATCACCAAGGCCAAGCATAGCTGGTCTATCTGATGGTCTGACACCTTTTCTCCCTTGACTCTCTCTTCTACAGCACCCTCAAACGCGTCGAGTGCGTCTTCTTGCCTCGTCGTCATGCAGTAGGGAGGGGCCTCGTCGTCGTCCATGTCTGCTGTACGGCAGAAGATGCATAGTATCTGTCGCCATACTTCCTTATACCTTGCCCACGAAGCGTCCTCCATGCGGCTGTCGAATGGCCACGTCGGCTTTTTGGAGACGTCGTTCCTCTGCACCTCGAACAGTACCTGGCTTCCGACCTTGGTCGGTGACGCTATCGCCCGCGCCCGGTCCATGACGCGGCCTAGGCTCTCGCACATCTACTGCAGCACGGGTTCGTCGTCTTGGGCTGGACGCGTCGTCTCGCGCAGCGTCGGCGGGTCTAACCCGGCCAGGTGCTTCGCCCAGCCGACCCAGGCTAGCCACGCATTGGGCTCGAGCTTGTCGCTGGTGACCCGTATTGCCTCTTCTTCCTTCATTTTGAACCGCTTAGCCTGGGCTTGATGTGCCTGCATTATCCGCTGGATAGGGTCATCCGCTGCAGTCGTGGGCTCGCTGGCCCGCCCCACCTCGAACCAGCCACTGGCGGCGCGGGACTTGAAGAATCGCTGGCAGTGTACACCTGTCGTCCACGGCACCTGCACGGGCTGCCTCGCGCGCGTTGCTGCATCGCCGCCCCTCGTCTGCGGGTTCCTCCATCCGTGCTTCTTTTGGCCATGTGACTGCATCCCATGGACGGTACGGGTGACGAAGCCGCATTCCCTATGCTCGCAGCGTAATCCGTCACGCCGTGGCGGTTCGATGTACGGGATCGGGTCGATTGTCGGCGGCGGGTACTCGAATACGGCCAACCCGGCCTGGTCTTGGACGACTCCAGGGATTGCTTGGATATGATTGCTGATTGTTTTTCTCTCCTTGACCTTGATTGATGGGTGACGCTCACGTAGATGTGTATAGACTTCCTGTTGAAGTGGGTCATCAGAACCCCTGAACCCCTGAAAGGCTCTCTGAGGAGCCCCTGACACTGGCTTGGAAGTGATATATTAAGGTGGCATTTCTCTGTATTTACTCACAGATTTCTTCAACCAAAAATGAACACTTCATCCGCTACACAGCCTTCAACATCCTTGGCCACACATGCAAACTTGCAAGTCTTGCATATGACAAATGGGTATTGACCAACCTGTACAAATGGATCCATCCTGCTAGTCTTGCCCTTATGATCGTGTTCTTTGTACGTAGGCATGTTCTACCTCTTAAATTCTCCAACATATACGGTTTTCTTCACCCTGCCCTACCCATAGCCCCTACCTAAATTGGCTTCCTGCTATGCGTGGTCCTATTGGCTGCAGCTGTGCTGGCCCGCCTCGCGTCCCGTATCGTCAGCGCATTAAAAAAAAAAACCTGCCAAACTATAGCCGCTGATTGCTTTGCTAAGACGCCAATTCTGCACCTGCAAATGAGCTCATCTTAATCGCTCGTTCCAGCGCTTTCCCCTCGTACGTTTTTGGCTTCGGAGCACTACAGCAACCCAATCACATCTACTCCTGTTTCCCCATTTACATCTACCCCCTGTCATTATTAGTGGGCCTCCCGTTTTGTATGGCACTTGCCATTCAAATCTACTGCATATGTCATATACTGTATGTCAGGCGTTATATATATATACTTATTATATATTGCTAGGTCTATAAATTATAAGTATTGCTATTTGTACACACATATATCTCTATTCGTATAAACGCCCTATTTTTAAGATACGTACCAACGCCAGCCCGCCCCGCCTATTTATACCGCGCCTGCATAGCAGGTAGCGGTACCGCCTAAATGCCCGCGCCCGAGCCCGCTCACACACACACACCACACATATACATAAGATCCTACCTATATTCTATATATATATACTAAATTTAAAGCTATCGCCGCCGCCGCGATAGACCCCCTTCTCTCCCTCCTTAATGCACCTACGCTACCTTAAGGCGATAATAAATCTTACGATGCTAACGAGCGAGATACTATCCCGCCTTGCCGTCTCTAAGCTTCGAAACCTACGATAAGGCGTATAACTTCGTCTAGGGCTTCCTTCGCGAGAACGGTGCCGCCGTCGTTAAGCGGTTAAGCTTATATAAGCGAGATATTAACGGGATCTCCCTTATAACCCGAGTCCTCTTTATATACGATCGTAGCCCGCGGCGGGCTTCTACTAGCATAGGGCTATGTAAGCCGTCTACCTAGAAGCTTAACTGCCCTTTCCGCCTCGTCGTAACGGCCTTATATAACGAGGAAGAAGGAGCTTAGTAGTAGACTTTTCGAGTTACTAAGGGCCACTATAACTACGGGCTATCTCTTAATCCGTTAGCGTATAATATTTATTACCGACGGACCGTAATATAGTAAGCTCTCGAGTAGAACCTCTCTTAATATAAGCGCTGCCGGCTCGAGAGATATCGACTATTTTACGTAAGGCCGAGCCTTTTATAGCGTTCTATTATATCTAAGATATCTATAGCGATCGCTAAAAGATCTATTTTACTACTCTTAGAGATATAATAGTAATATAAGCGTTCTTATAGTATCTTTAAGCTAGCGATCTTCCTTATTACGTTAAATTCGACCTATATAATAAAAATAAGATTTAAGGCGTATTATAGACCTACCTATAATATTAGAAGATATAGAAACATTTCCCTAAGGTTCTCGGCATTATTAATATATATAAGACGAACCGCTTTAAGCTCTTCCTTTTCTAGGTTACTAGGGTTACTAACTAAAAGTCTCTAGTAAACTTCGCCTTTAGCCTTATTAATATAGAGAAAGAGGAGGGATATTAGTAGCTTTATAAGTCTCTTAACGAGCTTCGTAGGGCGATTAATATACGAGAGCCTAATATAGTTATTACGGATAAAGAAGCTGCCCTTAAAAACGCCCTTCTTTATATTTTCCCTCTTATATAATAATAACTCTATATATTCTCCGTTAATAGTAACGTTCGGGCTCGAATCTAGTAACGCTAGAGAGACGAAGTAAATCCCGATAGCCCTAAAAACCCTACTAATATAGAGATCCCTCTAGAGGTCGAAGCTATTCTCGCTCGAGAAGCCGTCGAATAAGGCGCCGCCGAGCAAAGCGCCGCCGCGGCGGCTAATTTAAACCTCGACCTAGACGGCGAAGTCGAATATAGCCGTAAGGGCATATTCCTTGCTTAGAAGCGCGTTATTTACGTAAAGATAGAGGCGAATTTCTATAAGGCGTAGGAGAGGCTCGATAAGATCTTCGGTGCGTAGTAAGGCTATATCGTAACCTATATCTCGAACGAATATATACCGTGGCGTAAGTAATAGGTAGGCTACCTTATTAGCTAGTATCGTAACTTCGGGCAGCGGGTAAATAGCCTAGTCGAGACTACCTATAAGGATATAAAGTCGTATCTAGTTATAGGCACCTCTAACCTCTTATATCTTTACGATGCCCTTATATAGATAATTAAGAATAAAGAAATAATATACGTATAAAAGGCCGCTTAGTAAGAGATATAATAGAGGCATTATTTCCTTAGGCAGACTTAGCTTAGGGATCTTAGCTTTAAAATTACCTACGAAGCAGTTAACCTACTTACTACGCAATATAGGCTTGCCCTCGCCGCGATGCCCTCGCTAACGCGAGAGCTATAGCCGTTATAGCCTTATAGCGGGCGATTTAAACACTAATTTAAGCTGCCTTATATATATATAATCCTTTAACGCCTCGAAGCTAGGTTAACGCTTAAAAAGCATAATATTCTCTCGCGCTAGTAGCTTAAGAAGCTATTAGTAAAGACCCCCCCCCTTTTAGTAATTTCTTTACTAATTATTACTATTAGGACCTCGAGGAGCTATTATTATAAATCCGCGATCCCGACATCGTTACGGTTATACGCGGCCGCCCCCGTAATAATAAGCTATCTATACTAAGCTCCCTCGCAGCGAAGGCATCGCAGCTAGCCAAGGTGGCTATAGCGGCGACGAGGTCATTACAGCTACCTAATTTAAGTCAGGCCAGCTCGAGGCGGCTTAACGCGAGCATTCGAAGGCACCGAGGGCAAGACGAGATAGACGAACTTAGCCACAGCCCGCGTTCTCTCGCAGCGTTATAACAAAGATCGTTAGCCCGAGGAAATACAAGGGGAAGGGGATCAAGAGGAGGACGCGGCAAGAGGAGCGCGCCTTCGGCTTCGTTAGGGCCGGCTTCGTCAGGCGCTCGTTGAGTAGGAGGCCATTGAGTGGGGGCGACCGCCGCCGCCGCCGCCCACAAGCGCCAGAGGGGCCGGATTAATTAATAGGCCGATTATTTCAACTTCGAGCTCAAGGCCCGGAAATGCGTTATTAAGCGAATTAAGAGGCATACGTTGTGCGGCCTTTCTTGCCTTATATATGGTGTGTGTGTGTGGGCGGGCTCGGGCGCGGGCATTTAGGCGGTACCGCTACCTGCCATGCGGGCGCGGTATAAATAGGCGGGGCGGGCTGGCGTTGGTACGTATCTTAAAAATAGGGCGTTTATACGAATAGAGATATATATGTATATAAATAGCAATACTCTAAATTATTACTATACTTTATATACTAAAAGAAAAGTTGCTAGTATAGGAATTATACTAATCTATTATATCTATTAAGGATTAAGGGATAGGTGCACGTGACCACTTAATTATGTGTATAGCTAAAGCCCCTAAGGCTCCTGTCACGGATATGCTAGCCCAGGTACCTTCATAGGTACGTGCAGGCTCCGTGTCGCCTCGCACGGCTTATTTATTAGGGCACAGTGGACGGACTAGCCTCCATAGGCCAGACTTATACCTACACACACTCTTTAGCCTACGAGCAGATGCTTCCCTCTTTGCGAGCCACCTTCTCGTAGCGACAGCTCCCTTACCCCAAGTAGCCTCTTCCTCCCTAGATAGCTAGATAAGACGAATATAACAACACCGGTTAACCCCATCTTTGCATGCAAAGGAAGCTTACCAACAATGCCCATACTTATCAGTATATATTGATTACTGCAATGTCTGCCTGTTAGCCGAACGAGGCGAAATACACGGTCTCCGTGTTAGCTGCCAACGGTCGTTGCAATCATGCCAGCTCCATCTAGTGAACAGCTATCGTGATAGGTACTCCAAAACTACCTTTGCAGCTCATAACGCGGCTCGGTGGGACCTTCTAACGACGGCCGCAAGTCTCAACCCTAACCCGAAATCCAAGCCTGATTTGCCGCCTTTCCCCGGGAAACTATAATAAGAGGGAATATAACAGAGACGAGTGAGCGCTATCTAAATTGACAACGACTGCATTATAGTACGAGGTGGTAGTGAAAACATCGCGATTAAATTGCTAGTTACTAAACCGGACACAGTTTTTTAGGGTGTCCGATATGTGGGGGTAGCCCATTCCTATATGCAGGGACTAATACAGGTTTTAGTAGTGTGTTAGGAAACTAGTAGAGTTGGCTGGAAATGAGTTCGATATAAGTCTGAGGACTTTAAAAACCAACTCTCTCCAATCTTAACCCATGTTTCATTATAGTACCCTGACCCTTTAATGCTAATTAATCCAGCAGTACCAGAAACTATAATATCATCTCTCATGCTCCAGGTGGCTTTGACTTTATTAGGTCCAATTTGCTGTAATTCACCAAGCCCAAATATATGATGTATTGCAGCCCTGGCTAGGAAGGCTTTAAAGAACCCCTTAAAAGATTCTCTCGAGTTAAAGGCCAAATTTTGTTTACCAACTCTCTGAATTCGACTATTTGTGTCATAGAAACAAAGTTCAGCGTCAGGCATTAAGATTTCGTCGAGTTCGTGCCATGCTTTCATATCGATACAGCGACCATATATGGCCTTTTTCTGATTGATGATTGCTGAAACATTTGAAGAAACCTCCATGTTTAAAAGCTAGAGTAGTTGGAAAACGCGATTCCAAATTCAAATTCGCAATGTCGTGGTTCGGGAATTTTTGCAATATATATATCCACTTAGCGCAGCTATAGCCTTCTCTATTTCAAAGTAGGAATGGGCGTGAATCTGGACTAAAGGCATTCCTTAATGTAGTGCTTGGAATTTACCTTGCGCTTTTTTAAATTGAGACATTAATTAACACCAGTCTAGAAAGGCTTCGGAGAAGTATATAGGACATGTTAACCAGGATAAGAACGGTGGTAGGGGGGGAATATAGCTATAATAGCTCTAAAATTTCGCCACTGCCGTTATTAACATTGTCCGCTGAAAATATACTAACAGCGAAATACTACTTTAAAAAAAACTACTTTAATTCACCAAGTGCGCAAAGTATACATCCGGTGTTAATAGTTAAATAGCTACATTCCTTTCCCCAGTTACTCGCCTTTTTCTAGTTACTATAGCGCTATGCTTGAAATGCACAGTGGAATTTAAAGCCTCCCTAGCAGTTATATTAAATTCTAAGACTAGCAGGCTATAGTGGCCCCGAGCATGTATAAAGGCCTATAACGTAGCGGCAGTAAGGCACTTACTTCTAAAACATGCCTTTAGCATGTTATATTCGTCGATCGGTCTATATTATAGATTGGCCTGTCTTATAGTCTAGCCTATATTGTAGATTGGTTTGTCTTATAGATTCGCCTGTCTTATAGTTAGCCTATCCTATGGATTGGCGTAAATACCTTTCGAGACAGTAGCTACTGTATTACCGTATAAAGCGCCTATCGACGCGTGCAACAACCTTGGTCACCACGACACAATCTTTTCTTATCGAAGTTTGCGGTATTACAAATCCAAAATGAGTACTTCGGTTTACACGCTCGATTTAGGTGACAGACTTGAGGAGATACAACGGCTTGAATTTCAGCACCGTGAAGTATTTTTGCCAGTTACTGGTCGTCTGGTCCCAGAGGAGATCCTTCAATTCCTTTCATCTCTAGGTCGAGCACCGGTTGTAGCCGATGTGGCTACAGGCACGGGGTTATGGTTGCGAGATCTTGCAATGAAGCTATCACCAGACGCTCAGCTGGATGGTTACGACCTTGACACTGCCAAGTTCTTAGAACCATCGCAGCTGCCGCCAAACGTCAAATTAATGCAGGGCAACGCCCTTGAACCATTTCCACCCGAGAAGCATGAGAGCTATGACTTTGTACATATACGATTTATGTTATACGGACTTAAAGCTCATCAGTGGGATGAAATCGCTATAAACGTTCAGCCACTATTACGGCCAGGAGGCTATCTGCTCTGGGAGGAGGCGGGTTACCCTGGGATGACTTGTTTGCCTATGACAGAGAGCTTCCAGAAACTCATGAATATCAATGTTCGGCATGCTGCATTAATGGAAAGGGACATCACGTAAGTTATACGATGTGCGAAATCATTCTAATACTCTTACATTTTATAATTTGTTCCCAGTTTTCGCATCTCATTATGCAATATCACTAAATGCTACTTTCTTTGGGTAGAGCTCCTATACACCTTTACGACCAAATTAAAAGAGCAGGATATACCAGCTGCTGTCAGCTGACATTCTGCTCGTACTCTAAGAGCAAGGACATTCAAAAACAAACTGCAAATGTTATTATTGCTGGCCTCAGTCGATCTTCGCGATGTATAGTAGCAGCGGGTGGGTTCGACTGGATACAGAGCTACGATGATGTGACAAATGCTATAAACAGGTTGCGCCATGATATTGATAATAACGTCTGCGCTCTAGGCCTTGAGATTCACTGGATATCAGCTCGACGCGATCTATAATACAGACTAGAGTTTAAGAGGCTGGCCCGGAGTTTATCCAACAAGCAGGTGCCTAGGTGTTGTCTATCTAGAGCTAAGGAGGAAAGGAAGCCGAACTCGAGGCGAAGCCTCGAGTGCGGGCTTATATCGCCTCTTATAGAATGTTCTCGCAGCTCCGAGCCCGCGGAGCGGGGCCGGTACTGCCACCCGGGCCTGATCCACCGGACCCGGTACAACCGGGTTCTCCAAGCCGGGCACAGCCCGTGACATTACCCCCCCTTCTCCCCTCCGATTAAGCCGGGGTCGGCGGCTTTCTTGTGCTCTCGTCGACTTCTCATAACTCTCCCTAGGGCCATTATTGGCCTAGATAGGGCCATATTCGTCCTTAAATGCCTTTATAGCAATTATTCCTTATAGCCACTCGACTAGCTCCTAGGTCGGATTTGCGTAACCGGTCCATCGCACTAGTGCCTACCTGAATTTTCCTCGCCCACGCTTCTTCTATCTCGCGCAAAGTATCTCGTCGACGTCCTAAAGGTCTTCTCTATCCTCGTCTTATGTTGGTGGAGGCTATGCGTTATCTACCTTCTGGCCAGGCGCCAAGTCCTAATGAGCCCGTCGTAAGAGGTCGATTTAGAAACGCCGATAGATTAAACCACGAACGTCGAGTTCGACGACATGCGAATTAATAATCTTAGTGACCGTGTATTTATAGTATAGCTAGTCGAGCTTCTTATACGGTCGCGGCGATTTATAGTTCGCCATAGAAAGCTATACCTTATCGCTAACTTCGAATCGCTCCCTAGCCTATCCTTTCGCATTTATAGCCTCTTCTTATTATTACTATATAGTAGCTATCACTGCTTATATATATTCGTTAACCTCCTATAGGCGAGTGAGCAAGGCGTCTGCTTTGCCCTCCTCTTTATCGTAAGGTGGGTCGTCCGAGTCCTCGACGCTTATTATCGGGTCGACGTGATAGCCATGTTGCACGAAAAAGGGGCTAATCTTGGTTGTTGCGGATTCTCGGGTATTAAGTGCCAGCTGCGCGGCGGGAAGGAGCCCTCCCTAGTTGTCCTAGACGTACGAGACGTAGGCTCTCAGATAAGCCTTAATCTCCTAGTTTATCCTCTCTGGCCCTCCGTCCGTCTAGGGATAATATGCTATGCTTAGTTTCTGCTTGACATCCGCGAGGTTGCAGAACCTCTTCTAAAATCTGCTCAACCAGTTGCTTCCACGGTCACTGACAATGTAGGCTTGCAAACAAATAAATCGTAATCAAATAAATCCAAATAAATCCAAATCAAATTAAATCAAATTGAAGAAAATTTTATTTAAATTAACTTAAATTATAAGGCCTAGATTTATTTGGATATTTGAATTTATTTGGATAAGCTACTGCTGTCCAATCAGCGCGTTGGGTCAGCCTCAGTTCTCCTGCCCAATTTGGCAATCGGTTCGCATTTCGCAATTTACCTGCCCAGATTATTGTAAGGGCTTGATTCCCGTACCAGCGTCATGTTCAAGTCACGAAAAATCTTCAAGCAGCTTCGTCCACAGAGAGCAAGATTCGCTTGAGGGTACAGTCTAACCGGCTGAACATCGCAGTTTCAACTTTCACCGTTCGACTACTCCCTGCAGGGAACCATTCAGATGGCTCCGTCTACGACTCCTGACATCGCAGCAACAATGCTTTTGACTGCTCCTTCGACCACTCCCAGTGACCTTGAGGATTCCCCTGGTTTCGATGCATCTGCCACCAACAGAGCAGCGCTGACTTCAATTCAAGTAAGTCAAGTTTGAGGGTGTAATTTAATTACTTAAAATGAAATCGCCAGTCAACTTGATTAAATTGAATTGAATTGATATGCTTGATATACTTGATATCTGGGGTTGGTTCTTAAGCAGAGATACTAACATGCCCCCTCGTCATCGAAGTCTTTCATTTCGTTACCAAGGCTCACGACTTCCCCAACGTTAATCGCTCCATGGACCAACCAATTGCGCAAGGCTCTAGTTAATGGGCCCTTGGTTTTCCTTATCGGGCCCTTGAAGTGTGGCTAAATAGTCACGTGACTGCCGCGTCCTTTCCCCGCCTTAAACCTGAGCCGTCAACTGTGAAAGCTTGTCACTAATTAACTTAGTGTAGAGCTAGGAGCATATCAGGCCAGACAACCAGTCACCATTGGAGGTGGCCTCCACTTTTGGTGGACTGGTGCAACACTTAGAACGCATACCAAAGTGAGGGCATCCCCAACGCACCAACGCCGCACCGATGGAGTCACTTTTCCGCCACAAGTTCGAGACCTGGCAAGCTGCTGCAGAGCGCCGTAGCTCCATTACGGGCGAGAGCCTAATCAGGGACTGTGTCGCGGCGACGTAGCCTCGGGTACATGTTCCACGAGCCTGTTCAATTGCCTCACTCATTAACATTAAATTAATACCCCTACATTCAATGGCTCCACGTAAAATGGTTATGCTGTCGGGCCTATGACGCCGGCAAATGTGTGCACCGGCGCGCAGGCAAAGCCGCAAAGTAGGGTTGACAGTCCGCCACAGTCGCAGCCACACTTCAAGGGCCCGATAAGGAAAACCAAGGGCCCATTAACTAGAGCCTTGCGCAAACACTGTATCTCCTCCGTGACTTCTGGACTCAGGCTCAGCCTTTGAGAAGTCAGAGTCAGCTTTGTGACGCTAAATGTTCGCTCAGGATCGACAGACATGGCAGGAACGGCCATTACGTCTAGAGAAAACTTGCTCAGACGTGGATATTCCTCTTGATGATCCTTCCACCACAGAATAGGGTTAAGATTCTCTCGCCTTACTGAGTGTCACACCTAGCAGGCTAGGCACACGGCCTCTAGCTACAGGGACCACAACAGGAGGTCCGGAGTAGGGGGTATCCGAAGGCAACGGTTACAACTATGCACGAGCCTCTGTTACAGCTGTGTAAGAAACCCCTATTGCAACCTTCCTAAGATACAAGGGTTCTTTCTGCCCCAAATAGCTAGCTATAAGAAGGGGTCTCTGCCGCCTCCCTAGATAGAAGAAACAAGAGTCTACCAGTCACATAAGCCCTATGCAAAGCTCATCTATCCGTTATAATACCGGAAAGCCGTAATAGAAGGACTGGTGCAACTTGTTACTATGCGCAACCTCTTATACAATTATTGTTTGTGAAAGGCCTCTAGTGAGTTGATACAACTAACTAGTCCCTATGCTGTTTACTATCAAGATAGAGAAGAAAGAAAGAAAGAAAGAGAATCTACTACATGAGAGCACAATAGCATTTTATAGCTTCGAGCCAATGGAAGGTTCTAGAAGCTAGGCGGCGCAGCCGCCGTTAAAGCGGCTTGCCCGTTACATTGTTCTTGCCCCGAATTATATGCTTTTGTTTACGTAGTTAAGTCCCTGCACATAGAAATGGGCACCCCCCTGTTTTGGGCACCCCAAAAAAATCACGACCATTTTCAACACCATTAATTCAATCCCTTCTCACTGCCCACCACCGTGCACTACGATACAATCGTCACCTATTTCTGAAACCTCAGCTTCGGTTTCATCAGATTCTTCATTCTCAGCTGCGTTCACCTCCTCCTGCGCCCGTCGTATTGCCTCAATATTGGCGAACCTCGAATTCGGGCTCGTGACCACCCTCTTCCTTTTTCGGCTTGACGGCCGCCAATTGTGTTTCAGTGCCTGAATCTGCAATTGAGCTTTTGCTAAAGGCCATCCTTCTCGTCAAACCCTTTTGTGATCTTCCTGAACAGCAATCTCTTCGTGGGCACGTCGTCGTCTAGCTGGTTGAATTGAACTACCTGAACCTTCAGATCTTGCGAGCGCCTCGGGGTCGACCACGCAATCTGGGATGTGTCTGATTGCCAGTCACTGGTGGGTAAGTGGCTATTGAATGCATTGGCCACATTTTTCGCGTTCTTTTGCGTCTGTTGCTGTTCTCCAGCAGAAGAGGGCTCAAAAGTGGCTTCGCCATCGACACCGGCCACAAACCCGTCGCTTTCCAGCCACCCTTGATGTTTGACACAGTGAGCGCTTGCTCGCGTGCTTTCTGGTAGCAGGAAAGAAAGTTTTGCTTGCCGACTGGGCTTGAATCGGTCAGGAGGCTGAAATCCGACCTGTTTGCGGTAGTAGTGCTTAAGAGCGGAGAAGACAGACAAATCGAGCGGTTGCAGCACATGAGAGGTATGGGAGGTAAGAAAGAAGGTGAATCTGATGCTGGTAGCATAGATACATGAAGTCAACCGTCTCGTGACTTCCGTGGCCGTCCAATACTAGCAGTCTTCGCTCCGAAGGGTCGGGTGGCTGGGTTCTTGGAATGAACACCTTTTCGAGCCACTCCACCGCAGTTTGGTCCGAAGTCCAGCCGTTCTTTGTCGCAGTGAATTGCCAGTCACTAAAAGTACTGAGATCTTCTGGGAACCACTGTTGCTGGACCGATTTGCCCTTGAAAATGACGAGTGGAGGGAGGAAGGTGCCGGCAGCGGACACGCACTCGATGAACGACGTCCAGACCGAGAACCAGGCGTCTTCTTTTGTACAGATCGTTTTTCAGCACTGCCAACGACCAGGCCATTCTCCCCAAGTCCTTCCATGATGCCTGCTTCA